CTGTGGGGACGTCTCTTCCCGGCCTGGAGCCCTGGGCTGGGGGCTGCTGTGGGGCTGGGACCCCTCGCTCCTCCGGGAAACCCCCACCGCCGAGATGTCCTCCCGGGTTTAAACCGCGGCACTGGGTATGGGCCCCCAGCGGGTCTCCGATTCAGTCCCGATCCGCCCTCGTCTCCCCCCTCCCACCGCTCTTGGTGCTTCTTCAGTTCCCTGGTTTTAGGACTTCTGTGCAGCCAGATTTCAGGAGGTTCTGAGTGATGGTTCTGTATTTTAGTTGTAATTTTGATGTGGCTGCGGGAGGCGGTGGGTGCAGCTGTTACCTACGCCGCCAGCTTGTTTCTCCTAATTTTTTTCAGTTACAGTTGATGTACAATATTATATTACTTTCAAGTGTACAACATTTATATAATTTACAAAGTGATCACCGCGATAAGTCTAGTAACCACCTGACACCATAGTTAATACAATATTATTGACTATATTCTGTACGCTGTCCTTTACGTCCCTGTGGCTGTTTTTATAACTGGCAGTTTGTACTTCTCAATCTCTTCTCATTTCTTCACCCCCACGCCCCTTCCTTGTTGCAACCATCAAAATGGTCTCTGTATCTATGAGTTTGTTTCTGTTTTGTTTGTTTATTTTGTTTTTTAGATTCCACATGTAAGTGAAATCATATGGTATTTGTCTTTCTCTGCCTGATTTATTTCATTTAGCATAATGCCCTCTGTGTCCATTTATGTTGTCGCAAACGGCAAGATTTCCTTCTTTTTCATGGCACTTGTAAGCCTGTGGGCCTGTTATTTTGTATCACAGATTTTAAAGAATTTGAAGACACTTCTGAAGTTTCCTTTCAAGTCAAATATTTTTAATGTTTATTATTTAATAAAGTTGTTGAAAGAACCTTTGGATTCCTGTTGTCAGAGTCACCAGAGTGACTCTGCCGAGAAGGGCTCAGGTATCCTAAGCACACACGAAGGGTTCGTATTCAGAGGAGTCTTTGAGCAGCTTGCCACACGCAGCTTCCCTTTGTGTCCTGTGTCCAAAAGCAGTGTCATCGTCCACAGTGTTCACACCTGGACACCATTCTGAGTGCAGTCCCCTCGTAGCCAAGTGACCTGTCCTGTTTCTTCTCCTCGACGTATGAGAATAGCACTTACACCTATCTCATATGTACTGTGTTAAATAAATAATAGTAAAGTAAGAAAAGACTTAGCAGTAGAAATGTTTCGTCGGATTCACATCGATTGCCCTGTGGTGGTAAGTGTGTGGGTTCCCCTGGGGCAGATTTCAGTAAAGGGTGGGCGATGTCATCATGCTCCAAGGTGAAAAGGTCAGGGTGGTGGTGCTAATCATTGCTTCATATGTCTGTTAAATTACAATAAGAAATTTCTTTTCTATTTCTACCAAGCCAAACTAGCAAGACGCAGTCAGGAACGAGAGAATCTTGGCATGCTGGTCTGGTCGCCTAATCAGAATCTATCAGAAGCAAAACGTAAGTTTTAGAGCACCTTTATTTTTCATCTTCTTACTTAATGCAGAGTTTTAAACAAGCTTTGTAGCTAAAAGTCCCTACATATGTTATAGTTCTCTTACATTTTTAAAATAAGTAATTTCAAGAGTTTGAGAGTGTATTTCTTTATTGTGGCCTGTCACGATCACTGAAAGATTTCCAGCCTGTGGCTTCACCAAAATGCTATGCAGGCTAATGCTGAAGTAACCCAGAGGAAGGCTCAGAGTGGAAGGAGCATTACAGCGCAGTGCCTAACCCCGTTGGCGGGCATTGATAGCTTTATAAAGCCGGAGAGTTGAGCAGGTTTCTCGTTTGAAAGATCACAAAGGTCCAATATGTGACACTGGAATGGACCTTATGGGAAGACTTCAGCCTACCTAGAAGTAGGACTTTGGGATTGGCTGTTTCATGGGTTTAAAATCCTATTAGGATGAATATTCTGAGCTACCTTAGATGGGGAGGGGAGGGGCCCTCAAGCTGATTCATTGTATTTTCAGAGTTTGCTTTTCAGCTTCTCTGTCCCTTCTGCTCAAATGATACCATAGCCTTTGCCACTTTCAAAGGTTTTATTTTCTTCATAACTTAGAAGAGAAGAAAAACTGTTTCCTTTTGAGGACTTTTTAGTGGGGGGCCTGGATGGAATTAATGGGGATTCGTGAACTTGGAAATCACATGCAAAATTTTTGGGTACACGTGTGTTTTTCTGGAGGAATGACATGGGATTTTCAAAGGGGTCTTTGAAAAATAGGTTAATACTCAATTCTCTAAAACATAACAGGGCTTTAAAAGCTCTCAGTGGTAAATGTCCATCAGAAAACTGTTGCATTGTGAGCACAGGCGGGGCAAGGGCGTGACAGGATTCCTCGCATTATGTTCTGCAGCATTAAATAGGTGTGAACACATTACTGTCTAATAGTGTGAGGTTGATGCATATTAAACACCCTTCTCTGGTATACACAGTGTCCACGTGAGCATTTTAAGATGCATAGAGCTCCTACGGTAAAGAAACCTGTTTAGTTTTGGCCAAGAGGGTCCTTTCTGGTGCAGTGCCCTGCGTGTAGTGGTGCTAAATGGAGCAGTAGCCTCAGCGTAACCTGACTTAAAGGTGCATGAGCTTTGCCTCCGTCAAGCTGCTGCTCGGTGAGTTCTTAACGGGGAACAGAGCAGCAGAAGGCAGTGTTGGTATTTCGGATGCCGTTCCTGTGCTGGGAGGGCCTTTAAAACGTTCTCTCTCCTTTTGAGCACTTGGTAACTTACAAAAGCAATCGATTCCATTTTTGAACATGTTCTTTCTGACAGAGAGCTGAAAATCTGCCTGCCTGTAAAGCTCTGTTTTCCCGAACTCCGCTAAATAAGCCTCTGTGTGTCTTTGCGATATTTTCCTACCTCCCTTGCCGTCCCAGTCCAAGTTAAACCTGCCTACGGTTTATTAGATGGTTTGATTTTTGGGTCTCTTTTTATTTCTGTTGCCCTCCTGGATATATTGCATTTGGTGACAATGCCCATCTTAAATTATGGTGCCCAGAATTGAATATTAAGAATAGTTGGGGCGGGGGCAGGGCAAGGAGGCAGGCTCTCAATCCGGCTTCAAGCAGGTTTTCCACTGCCCCCCATCGCGGCCCCAGCAGCTTGGGCAGCTTGGGCGGCTGGGGAAGCGCAGCGGGCCAGGCAGCCCAGGTCCTCAAAGGCTCTAGGCTGCCTCGCCCCTCAGGCACCCGGCCCGCCCAGCCCACCGCCCCACTGCCAGGATGTTCTAGAGGAAGGTCAGCTCTGCCGAGAGGACAGCGAAGGAGGAGCCCGGGAGGAGGTCAGCGAGGTTGTCAGCTAAACCTGCTCCCATAAGTGGAAACGATGCCAAAAAAGGTGGCAGGAGAAGACAAATCTGCAGACAAAAAAGTGCAAATGGGAGCAAAGGGAAAACAGGCCAAGTGGCTCACCAGGCACCTGAAGGCCTCCCTGCGGAAAACGGGGAAACTGAAATGGAGGGAAGTCCAGTCTCGGATGAAGCAGGAGAGAAAGAAGCCAAGTCTGATTGATGTTATACCCTGTCCTATCACCATCTGTCTCCCTTGTACAATCCAGAGTAACATCACCAAACTTCTGAACGAAGACCCCAAACATTTCTATCATTAAACACTGAAATAGGTGTGAGCTATACAGACATCTAAGAATGGTGAACAAAAAGAAATCAGATCATGATTTTCCAACCTGCTGATTCCAGGTCAGCGTCACAGGTGGCTGGAGCCTCTCCTGGCTGCTCGGGGTGCAAGGTGGGACCACCCTGGACAGGCCGCTCTCCCATCACAGGTGAACTCACAGCCACTCACACACAGTGGGACAGTGTAGACACGCCATTCACCTCCCGTGCTCTGCTCTGTGGTGTGGGAGGAAACGCAGGCAGACACGGGGACACCAAGCACACTCCACGGACAGTGGCCCCGTCCCGGAATCAATTACTGCCCCCCTCAACCCCCATCAACATTATAACAAAATGGGACCCGCTGTATGTATCTGTGTGCTCTCTTCCTGAGCATTGACTTCAGCTTTTCCCACACTGTTAAAACCTCTTGGACACATCGTAATACCTGTGGACTGTTCTGTCGTGCGGGTGTGTCAGTGTATTTACCATCCTTCTATGGAATGTTTAGGTTGCTTCTAATTGGTCGCTTTTGTAGAAGCCGATAGTGAGAAACTGAGCCATAGCTCTGTCCTCTGTTCTGTTTTGTTTTTGTATTCATTGTGTTTAGTATTTGCTTAGGGTATATCCCTAGGAGTGGAATTGTGGGTTGATGGGAATTTGTTTACCTGCTGACGTGTGAGTGTGGTTCCTGTCAGTAGGTACCAATTTGTGGCGCTTTGGGAATCATACTCCTTGACTAGTAAGTAGTCTAATCATAGGCCTTAAAATGTAATTACAGTGTTCATGCAAATAGCACACACGGTTTGTACTCTGCCACCTGTCACTCCCCTGATGTATGGGCAGAAAAGAAGTCTTTTCTACTTGCCTTTCTTCTTTATTTTGAGCAAATGTGAAAGTGTTGGTTGTCCAGTGTTGGCTCTGACTCTGCGTAGAAATAGGAGACTTGGAGCATGTACAGATTTCTCAGTGATATCCCCAATGTGGAAGGATGTCTGTAGGTCCTTAGCTTTTCCTATGTTTCTTTCTTTCTTCTCAAGTAGATGTTTAGAGTTCTGCCTCTTAGGGTTGGTTACTGCAAGTTTACAAATTTTTTGTGTGGTTATAAAAGTAAATGCTGTTGTAATTTCAAACAATACAGAATGTGTGATGTAGATACTTAAAGCCTTATAATTACTGTTTACAATAGATGTGCTTTTTCTAATTTGTTTGTTTGTTTTTTTAACCCTCCCCTGAGGATATTTTTTTCCATTGCTTTTCAGAGAGAGAGCTGGGGTGGGGGGCACAGAGACAGAGACAACGATGTGAGAGAGACACATCGATTGGTTGCCTCCTGCACGCACCCCAACCAGGGCCAGGGGTCGAGCTTGCTACCGAGGTACGTGCCCTTGGCTGGAATCAAACCTGGGACCCTTTAGTCCCTAGGCTGATGCTCTAACCACTGAACCAGACTGGCCAGGGCTCTAATGTTTTTATACATAATAAATATTTTAAAATTTTTATCAGAAAATAAAAGCTGTTCAGCCATTTGCTCTTATCAACAATATATGTGGGACTCGGTTCTGTCTCAGTTCATTTCCAGTTACCTAGTTTTTAACAGGTGTGGGTGTATCATAGTTTAGTCTTTCATTTTTTTAAAAAACTTTTTAAAGAGCTATAGTGAACATTCTTATTTCTTTAGGACAAATCCCTAGTTCTAGGACAAGGAGCTAATACATTATATCTTATTTTGTTTCTTTTTTAAAATAGATTTAATTTTTAGAGCACTTTTAGGTTGAGTCAAGTTAGGCTCACGGTCAAATTGAGCAGAAAGTACAGAGATTTCCCATGTACCGCCGGTCCCCACACAGGCACAGCCTCCCCTACTGTGGATGTCCCTCCCTACCATCAGTGATCCTACAGCGACACATCGTCACCCGAAGGCTGTCGTTGGCATTAGGGCTCACTCTTGTGTTATACATTCTATAAGGGTGTGTTTGTTGTTTTTGGATTTTTATAAGAATTTATTTGAGTTAGGCTGACAGCATATTCTGGGTAGCAGGATCTCAAATGCTCCCGTTCGTTTTGGCAGGTGTGTGACGTGTGTCCGCATCGTAGTGTCATACTGAATCCTGTGCTCTGCCTCTGCAGCCCCCCACCCCTCGCTGCGGCAGCCACTGATCCTTTCACTGTCTCCATAGTTTTGCCTTTTCCAGAACATCATCAGTAGCAGTCATATGGTATGTATAGGCTTTTTCAGATTGGCTTCTTTGACTTAGTAATAATGTACATTTGAGGTTCTTCCACATCTTTTCATGGTTTTATAGCTCATCTTATTTTTAGTGCTGTATAATATTCCATCATCTGGATGTACCACAGTTTATTCATCAACTGAAGGCCATCTTGGCGGCTTCTGTGTTTTGGCAAATATGATGAATAAAGCTGCTGTTGTAAACACCTGTGTACAGATTTTTCTATGGACATAAGTTTTCAACTTCTTTGGATAAATGCCAAGGAGCAGGATTGCTGGATTGTATGGCAAGAGCGCAGTTAGTTCTAGGAAACTGCAAAACTGTCTTCTGAAGTGGCTGCACCATCTGCACTCCCACCGGTGTGAACGGAGGTCCTGCTGCTCCACTTCCTCACCAGCACTTGGTGTTGGTGTTTTGGATTTTGGCCACTCTAATAGGTGTTTAGCTTATTTTCTTTTAAACTAAAAATGATACCTACACACAAAATAAGATAAAATAGTGAAAAATATTCTACGTCTCCCAAATTAACCACTGTTGTTAATTTTCTGGGTGTCTGTTAGTTTCTGTAAGCACATTTGGTGTGTTTTATGGCCACATAATGTGGGTGTTTCCTA